TATATTTTTTTTTTTTAAAGTGAATCGGGGAGGTGGATCCTTAATGTTGAGCTATAGTCCCAGACTGTAGGTTTAAAAGTTCTAAAACTCTGCATTGGTATATAAGGGGCAAAGGGAACAAAAGGGGCTATTGAAATTTAGCTCTTTTATCCATTATGGCAAGAGGTGAGTCAAGTTGCACTCAGCAAATCTTCCCAATGCTAGAATGGCTGTTTTAAATTAAAATAAGGTGGAAACTTAGTGATAGTTGTCCCTCTCAACTCTTCTTTAACAGGGGCAAAGAAAGCAAGTAAATGAGAACGCAGCATACAAATAGATATGGCATGTAATATAAGCACAGTCATAATCACAGAAAGAAAAAACACCAGGACCCGTCCACCCCCAAACTAGAAGCGTAAGAATAACACAGTCTACCTGAATACATACCCAACCAGATCACACTCTAGTAAATATTACCAAACGGTATCCATACCCCACTGGTCCAATGGAATGCATAGTAGAGAAATGGAAATTGACATTTATGAAAATTCATCTTTCAAACGCCCTCAAATTCATTATTATCCAAGTTTTCCATAAAGCAAAATTGAGACATGAAGGGTAACTATGCAGGTGTTAAATTTTACATGATTAAAAGAAAAATGTCTGGTGTCAAAATCCAAAATCTCACAGAACATCCACATATGTGAAATTAGACAGGTACTTAGCAGGACAAACTCTATTCATGTTTGAAATACAAGGGTTTCATTTCAGCCAGGAATAGTGGCATGCTTGTAATCCCAGATACTCAGGAGGCTGAGGCAAGAGGATCACAAAATTTGAGGCCAGCTTGGGCATTTAACAAGACCCTGTCTCAAAACACAGTGGGGGGCAAAAGCCTCAGGATTTAACTCAGTACGAAAGCACTGCCTAGAATGAACAAGGCCCTGCAAGGGGGTTGGGGCAAAGTTTCTATAGCATGTTACATTACTCTATACTTGGCCCTACAATGTCCTCTCCAATAATGATCTAAATAGAAACAAGCATTTGTTTAACATACATAGACACAAATATGGCTTAGTGGCTAAAAATCATCTCTACTGTCAATGTGTCAGAAACCTCTCCAAGGCTCAATTTATTCATCAACAAAATACTCTAAGTGTTGTGAGCCATAAATAACCTGATCTGTGTCAAGTAGCTAAAGAAGCAAAAAGCAGGCATTCCTCATGCAAGACCTGTAACTGCTTGCTAGAACCAACTAGCCCTTTTAGTATGGGCAAAACAAGGAAGACCAGGCCTGGTGGCACCAGTTTGCGATCCTAGCAATCTGGATGGAGGAAGGTATTAAAGACCATCTTTGGTTACATAAAGTAGCCAGCCTGAGCTTCGAGACCCTCTCTCCAAAACCAAACAAAGCATAAAATCCTGGGTTCCATTCCAGTACCACATGAAACCAGGTATAGTGGCAATACCTATAATCCCAACAGTCATGAGACTGAGGTAGGGGAATGATGACTTTAAAGCCAACCTAAGGTACATCATAAGTTTCACGTCAGCCAGGGCTACACAATAAGACCATCTCAAAACAAACAAAAAACAAAAGGCTGGGGGCAGTGAGATGGTCTAGGAGGTAAATGTATTTGGCAAGCCTGATGAGCTAAGTTTGATCCCCAGGATCCACATGATGGAGAGAAATGACTCCCGTAAGTTACCTCCATACATGGGCGCAGTACTCACACATACACACATACAATAAATGTAATTTTAATAAATGGTAGTGTTAATCTGGTCAAGAGTCAGTAGCTTGGGATGGCATACGCCCTAGGGCTGAACCTACTACTACTGTTTTGCTAAATGGTCATGTTGTCAAATTGCCTTCTAAATATTCATGTTTACATTCACAGAGTTGGAAAAGATTCTTACTGGAGCCAGAGCAGGTTAATTCAGACTTAATACTGGTCTAAGTGCTTGGCCCTACATGAAACATCTATACTTCCCCCTCCAAGGCTCAGGGAACATCACAGAAGAGGCAGCACACTGTTCGGGGCCAGCAGATGGGGATATGCAGGAAAGACACCTTCTGGACATGACAGCATCACTTATAAACTCATTGTAGCTGTGGCACATCTAAGACTGAGGCCAATGACATTCCACCACAGACGGGGAGGATAAGGCCCCAGGCTTCTCTGAGGAGCTATAGGCAGTTAGTGATTGCTGGGAGACAGAAATCCCTACTCCTCAGTGGAGAAGCCGTGGTTAAGTTGCCTCTGCTCAAGTCAATAACCTCCCATGTTCATACAACCACCCTAACTAAACTCAGTGGGCCACAAAGAGGGGCATGAAAGAAAGCGGGGAACTTGCTGGAAAGAACAGGTTTGGTGGGAGGGGGAAGGAAATAAGAAGATAACGGGGAAAATAGGATAAAGTACATTACATACATATGTGAATATGGAATTGTGAAAGAACAAGTTATCTTTTAAAGTATGGTAGCACACCCTTGTAAGCTCAGTAGTCACCAGCCTTCTCTACAATGTCATTAAAAAGGGCTGGCAGGGGGTGGGGCGTGTTGGTGCATGCCTTAATCCCAGCACTCAGGAGGCAGAGGCTAGCGGATCTCTGTGAGATCAAGGCCAGCCTGGTCTACAAAATAAGTTCCAGGCCAGCTGGGGCTACAGGCATACCCTGTCTCAAAAAAGACTTAAAAAAAAAAAAAAAGGCTGGCAGGATGTAAAGGCACATGCCTCCAAGCAGGGCTAAACTGAGTTAGATTCTCCAGAATCCACACAGTGGGAGGAGAGAACTGACTCCTGCAAACTGCCCACTAAACTAACCTCCACATGCACACTCACATATACCTACCCACAAATAAATAAATTGTAATTTAAAAATACAGAATTAAGGCTTTGTGTCCAAGCTTGGTAGCAGGTACCTTTACCTGATGAGCCATTTCACCTGAGACAGGATCTTATGTATCCAAGGCTGACCTTGAACTCATGTAGCTGAGGATCAATTCCGATGAAAGGAGACTTAGTCAAGGACAACTTGTAGCACTTACCCTTCCTCCTTGGCAAAAGTAAAAGGCTGCTTATGTGAAAGTACCATGCTTGTAACTATTTCCCACCTCCCATCAGAACTTTTTTCTAAAACTTGATTATCGTGAGTGGTTATGTGTGCATGATGTTAACATGTGAACACATGAGCACTACGGGGTCATCAGACTTGCATGGCAATCACTTTTACTTGCTGAGTCAAGTCATGTCCCCATTTCCTTTATTTTTGAGACAGGGTCTTATGTGGCCCAGACTGATCTCAAGCTCACTGTATGTAGCTGAAAGATCACCTTCAACTTCTAAATCTTCCTACCTCTCTCAGTACTGGGATCACAAGCATGTGCCACAATATTATGTGGAGCTCTGTGTATGTTAGGTAAGCACTCTACCAACTGAGCTACATTCCTAGCTCCATGAACTACATAGAATTTTCTTTTAACACTGTTGATAAAGTAAGAGGCTGAGGAAAATTGGAAGCTAAATCCTAACTTCTGAATTTGAGGACTGACTCATTCTTATTTATCCTAAGCATGCATTCTCTTTGATAAAACAAAGATTGGTATTTTCATATTAATAAGGTTAAAAATAACAAATTCCAATTCAGTACCCAGTATGCATACGATAACCAATTAAGTATTAAAAATACTTACCATGATATAACTACTAATAAACAAAGCAAGCAAAATTCCATTTAGCAAACCCAAATAAAACTTTCAGTCAAAGATGATCAACTAGGGTAAGATATCACAGATAGATATTTGAACACTGCCAAGTCAATGAAAAGATACAACATGTCATTCTAACCCAGTGACCCACCATCATAATGGGTCAACTACACTGTGACTTTAAATACATCATAAGGTAAATATCAAGAATTTAGATTTAATTTCCAGTTTACTAGTAATACAAGGAACAGAAGAAAAGCACAATGATACCAATGAAAGCAAGCAGACATTCAGAAAGACAGGCATGCTAAAATGGCTGTTTCTTCAATGCCTAGAACTTATATAACATAGGCCAGTTATACAGACTAGAAATAAGTTAATTTACATAATTCCTTTTCTTCTTGGTAAATGTTAGGGATTCAATCCAGAATCTTGTGCATGCTAGACAACCATTGTACTACTGAGCTACATAATTTTTATTTATTTATTTTTGTTTGTTTTTGTTTTTTTGAGACAGGATCTCCATGTAGCCCCAACAGGCCTGAAACTTGCTATATAGAACAGGCTGGCCTCCATTCTCAAAGAGATTCAACTTTAGCCTCCCAAGTGCTGGGATGAAAGGCCTGCCTGGCTTCCTTAAATGTTTTATTAAAGGACAGAGTAAAGCTCCCCCATAGGACATGATGTCTCCCATTACCAAAGCCCAAGATTGCATCCAACTGAGTCTTCAGAACACAATCAGGAAGCACCCAAAAGTAAGTTTTTGGTTAAGTGGACCAATTTAATAGCTTAGAAGAACAAAGCGTGTTAATGTGTTAAGTATAGGCCAAGAAATCCTAGCAAG